TTGCTGCTTCACAGAGCATCTCCACAGTATCCTGCAGGAACAAGAGGGTGGAAGTACTCCCAGTACGGTGCAAAGCTGAGGCAGAGGCTGAGCAGGATAGGTGAAATTACCAGTCCTCGCCTTCCCAGGGTGTTTAGCTTTTTCAATACGTGAAGCAATGTTTCTCACTTGCTCACGCTTCAGCTGCAACTCCTCACTGCTACAGATTAGAATGAATTTTGCAAGCCAAGTGCCGAGAAATGAAAGGAATAAAACAGTGTGGAATACTTGGTTTCGTGATTTTTCTGCTATCCCACAAGGCAATGACAAATCCAATCCTCCCGAGTAGCAATGAGCCTACCTTACACTTGTAACACAGTTTCTTTCATGGTCCCACCTCATTCACAGGGCATCTTCTGCGACAAATCAATCAGCCATCTGGTGCGTTCTCACAGCCTTCCTAAGCAGGGTAAGCACTGTGTGGGTTAAAGAGCCTCCAGTCATGTAAAAATATTTTTGTTAAGAAACAAGCCTGCGTACTGTCTATCCAATGACAGTTAATAATAAAATGGTGATATATAGCACATAGTCAATCTGTCTTGTAATACCCTCAACAGCTTAACGCTCTGCCAGCTGAGTGCTTAAAAAGCATACTTGCTGCCATAGGTCTCAGCAGGGCTTCCTGGAACCCCTAACCTCTTATATCCACATCTTCAAGCCTTTCTACCGCTTGTTAAAAATAGCTGTTTTTTAGCTAGACACAAAGTACCTAACCCCACGGCTGGCTGTTGCCTAGTTATTGGCTATTTCAGGCTAATTCAGCTCTCTGCAAGACGTTCCTGTTTGTTCTTTGCCTGTCAATATGTTGTTGCTACCATATGGGCAGTTTTTGAGTCTATTTCTATGTTTTTGATTGTTGTGATAATGACAAAGAGTTAAATAAGAAATGAAACTTATTATTGCTGTATTGATAGATCTGAATCACTTTGGCGCTCTGCAGAATGGTTTTGTGTGGTAGTTACAAATTCTTGTGCAGGCTAGGCTGATTCTGATTAACGAAAATAAAACAGAACAACCTCTTCTTGCCAAAACATTTCAAGGATTATTCTAATTTGCCTCCCTCTACAATAAAGCATGGTGACTTCTTGTCACCACGCTGCTCACGTGACCCCTTGGTGAGAGGAAATGAAATGTGGAACTCCATCTTACCATGAAGGAAAAAGAGATGAGGAATTTGGATTACCTTTGTCTGAATATGATGCAAGAGCTGTTTCATTGTCAGGTTCTTGCAATGCCAGTGAAAGGAAGACCCTAGAGGACATTCCTGGATCTCAGAGAAGCCATTCTAAACTGTGTCTCCTGCTATGAATCAGAGCTAAGTGCCAAAATGGTTAAAGCTTCTGTACAGGAAACATCAGGGAAGAAGAGCAGGTTTGGATGACATAAATCAGCAAAGCTTAAAGGCTTACCAAACTTCTCAAATTTGAGTGTGAAACAGATTGTTGTCACTGCAACGCTCAGCCCAAACAGCGACAGAAGCTCTATTCTCCAATTGGGAAGCACAGGACAGCCTTCATTAAAAACCAAGAAATAAATAAATCCCCTGGAATAAAACCAGTGCAACTTATGACACCCCACAGTGCTCTAGTTTTGGTGGGTCTTACAGATCCCAGCTACAGATTGTTTTAATACCAACTATATGAAGGGATTGCGAGATCTAGTCCTGTAGTAACCAAGCCCTGAAGCACTGTGGTATTGCTATGGAGAGTCCAGTCAATGTGGTTTCTGTGAAGGAAATGCTGCCTTTTTGACCTTCTTAGTTCTTTGAATCTCTGAATAAGGGGGAACAGAGAGTAGAATCAGTAGTCTTAACATATCTGGACTTTTCTCTGTGCCTAGTAAGTCTCCCTTGGGAGACTATTAAGGAAAGTAGCCCTGGGCAAAACATTGTTAGATGCTTGCTTCTATCCAGTGTACAAATGAGCACAGGCCTGATGCCACACCAGCTGCATACTGTGTGCTGTGCAAAGATTTCTAATAGGATCTCTCTTCCTCTCTGCATCAGCCCTTGCCTGGTCACATACTGTTGACTTGTCTTTCCTGCTGCTAGCTATATGAGCTGGCAGCCCTTCAGAGAGACAGCCTGCTTTCCAGAGATCTTTTTTTTCACAGGAATTTCTTTCTCTCCTTAGCAGACCCCAATTATACTGACTCCATTAATAGCCAAGAAGAGGAGTCCAGGGACTTACCTGCTTCTGTACTTCATCCTGATCTGAAAGCAGAAAGGGGAAGCAGGGAGGCATTGCTTCCATTTGGGAAAATAAACAAGATGGATATCTTCTGGAGAACCTAAGGAAAGGATTGGTAACCCTCAATACACACAGTGAATCTGTCTAGGTTGTGAGCTTAGCTTATGAGAATTATGAACATGGGCTAACAAACATTAAAAATCTGAATGCTGCAGACAGGCTGATCACAGTATGTAACTGCAGCTCAGGTGTGTCAGGAAGGACAGTGCCTACCCAGAGACATTACACAAATTTAACAGAAGCATCCTGTGTTTGCAAGCAGACTGGGGACTTAATTTTGATCTCTTCTCTCTCCAGTTCCTGTGCCCAACATGTTTTGCTGTGCTTCATGTGCCGGAGGGACAATCTGAGTCTGTAATGTCAGAAGAGTACATCTGCACAGTGAGACAGACTGAAAATTGTATGTTTTGACTGAACGATATATTGTGAGCATATTATCGTATAGAAAGCAAGGTATTGAGGAACATGATCCTCTGTTATTTCTGCAAGTAATTATAGCTCCTGGACATGTTTATAATTAAGTTCTCATCAGCTCACCTGCCTATGGAGGAAACTTAGTATGTTAAGTATGAGGAGTACAAGCAAATGTACAGCAGCGATAGCTGTTGGACCTGCTGTTATTTCTGCAGCTGAACCTGCTGAAAGGCAAGGCAAGTGTAAATAGCCATTAATACCAATAGCATATCTGTGCAAATACTTTACCTAGTGTTATTGTTTGCTGACAAATACACACTCAATTGCATATTAAATATGTTTATGTATGCAAACACAATAAAGTAGATGTATTTCCAACGTGGGTTTTTTTTTCTGTTTATACCCAACATACATATGATAAAGTCATTGATTTTTCCTTTCAATATCTCACTCCCATTGAAAAATGAATCTTAATTAAGCTATGTGAAAGGACTTTAAACGTTTTCCAATCATTTTCACAGCTTGATTCTTTCAAGAACAGATTTAGGCTTCTTTTCTACAAACTCAATCCTTTCTTTTAATTATACTTCATAGAGGTTCAATGACTAAATTATGTGTTTCTGATAGAATAGCTTCAGGAAGCATTCATTTAAGCCTTAGGGCTATTACACAGTAACTTTTAGTTTATACATTAGCTTCTGAGAAGCTTATTTATCCATGCTGCTTTTTCAGGTAGATTCACCATGCAGAAGGTCAAGGAGACCTTTGCTGTCTGTGTTCAGAAGGACCAGAGAGATGAATAACTTCTCAAGGTATCAATAATCTTATGCTCTCCTTCATCCAACATTATTGAAAGTTGTTTAATCAGGGTGAAGTTACCCTCGTGGCTACCCGGCTTCAGCGAGTGGTGGTTGTGGGTTAGATACAAGACAGAACTTGGACTATTAACATCTCCTAAATGCCTTCCCCAAATCAAGAATATTGCCATCACTTCTTGGCCATTGTCCTGCCATGGTAATGACATATCAATTGTTTGAAATCCTCCATGGGACTGTAGCCAAATAATAGATTCCTTGCTGGAATGTAGTATTTCACTCAACCGGTTTTGAGTGCTGTCGTGTTGATGCAGTTCTCTGCCAAAGTGAAGCACCATCTTGCCTTTATTGGATTAATAAAGGATTGTTCTGGAAAGTGATGCTGTTGTTATACCATGACTTTTTGAAGGAGACCCTCTGCGGATAAATCTAGTGTTGCACAAAGAAAGATTAAGCAGGAAGGTTGTTTTCTTGCTTTTCTGAGCCGTGCTGAGTGCAAGAAAACAAATCACAGAGAAGAGCCTCACGCAGCCCAAGCACAACTGAGGGCAGCCATTCCTGGCAACGGGACAGGCCTGCACGACCTCACGGCTTCGTGGCCTTGCCATCAGCCACGTAGGAGAGCTGAGCTCCCAGCAAGACAGGGGCAGGTAAAATGGGGTCTGCGGCCGTCTGTGAGCTCGCTCCAGCTGCAGCGTCTCTCCTCCGGCTGTCTCTGTGGGACCGCCACGTCTGTCAGCTCTACGCGCCGGCACCTTCACCGCGAAGCTCCCATTTAACTCAAAGCCCTTCACGCGGAGCCGCGCAGTGGACGGGCTGCCGAAGCCCAGCGCTGAGATGAGGCGCCCACACGCAGCCGTGCCAAGGGCGCGCTGGGGCTGCGGCACTGAGGCGGGCGGCCGACACCGCGCCTCAGCTCAGCGGCAGCCGCCCAGCGCCGGGCTCGGCCGCGCGCGGCGCCCCGCCGGACGGTCGCACGAGGATTTTTCCAGACGGCAGAAATCTGGCACGCGGAGCGCGTGGTGCCGGCAGAGCGGTGCGCCGGCAGACAGCCCTCCCTCGGCACGGTTATATAAGGATCTCGCGTCAGCGCTGATGTTTTGGTACCGTGCGTAAATACGAGCTGCCGTGAGGAGAGAGGGGCGCTGGGGGATTCCCGCGCCGCCCGGTCCCCGCGCGCCGGCCGAGGCGCGGCTGGCTCCCGGCGGCGGGAGGAGTCCCGGGGCGGCCAGGTGCGCGGCTGCCGCCGGCCGCGTCCCGCCGCGCTCGCGCACGAGGCGAGGCGAAGCCCCGCTCCGCCGCCGCCTCCCCGAGGGAGAGGACGCCGCTCTCCCGCCGCGCCCCCGCCCCGCCGGTCCCAACCTCCCGGGGCCGCGCCGCCCCGCGGCATTCTGGGGACTGTAGGCGGCCGCCGCCGCCGCCCGCGCCGCCGCCGCCCGCCGGGGCCGGGGCGGGACTGCAGCTCCCGGCGGCCGCGGGGCAGCGGAGCTCGGCCCGGCCCGGCCGAGCGGCGGCGCGGAGAGGAGGAGCCGCGTTCCGCCGAGCGGGCCCGTAGTCCCGGCGCGGAGTGGAAGGGGCCGGCTGCGGCGGCGGCCAATGCGAAACTGGCTGGTGCTGCTGTGCCCCTGTGCGCTCGGGGTCGCGCTGCACCTCTGGCTGCTGCTCGGCTGCCCCGGCGGCCCCGGGAGGCGGCCGGCAGGTAGGGCAGGGGCCGCTCGGAGGCGCTCCCGCGGCGGGACCGGGGCTGAGTGGGGCGGGGAGCCGGGAGCCGGGAGCCGAGGCCGGCCGTTAAACGGGGCCGCGGCTGCTTCCAGCGCTGGGTGCCGACCGCCCGGCAGCGCGTCCCGCTGCGCGCTCCTCCGGGACGGGCAGCGCACGCCAGGCGGTGCTGCGGGGCGGCCTGGAACGGCGCCGAGGGGGCGAAGAGCTTCTTACGGGGCTGGGTGCGAGCCGGCGCGAGCTAAAGCACAGCCCTGAGGGCTGCGTTGCTTTCTTCATCGCGCGACCTGTGGTTTTCAGGCCGTGGATCTGCACGGCGGGTAGAAATAAGCGTCTGCTGGGGGAGAAACTTCTGTCAGACGCCCGTAGGTGCTGTCTGGGAGCGTTATGTTCTTTTTATAGGGTGTCTGGGAAACGATCTGGAGATAACAGCGCGTTTTGTCCTCGAGCTCTGTTGAGAGACCCAGCAGCCCATTGGGTAACAGAGCCGTGCTTTGGGGCTGGTCCTGCGTGCAGCCCTGCCGGGTCTGCAGGCCTCCAGTACTGCTGGGTGGTGCAGGTGTGGGGCGAGCAGGGTGGGAGCTGGGGCGCTCTGTGAGTCACAGGCTGTGTGGCTGTGCCTGTGATTCCCTCGTGGAGGTGACTCTAAGTTGTCACAGGAGTTGTTGCTCTGAGGCTGAGGTACTTCTGGATGCTGGGGATCACCGTGTCATTTGTCTTCCGTGGTGCAGCCCTATAAGCTCAGCACGTGGGAGCTGCAGGTGGCCGTGTGAAATCTCATAGAATCATAATCGTAGAATGGCCTGGGTTGAAAAGGATCACAATAAACATCTGTTTTCACCCCCCTTGCTATGTACGGGGTCACCAACCACCACACCAGGCTGCCCAGAGTGCCCAGAGCCACATCCAGCCTGGCCTTGAATGCCTCCAGGGATGGGGCATCCACAGCCTCCTTGGGCAGCCTGTTCCAGTGTGTCGTGGTGACATTTTCTGCTGAGATTTCTAAAGCAAATGCAGAGGTTTCTCAGCTTGGGATGGGGAAGAAGCTTTGTTCTGGGATTTCCTGTTAGCAGTTCTGTTGGAGTTTGTGCCTGCTACCATGAAACTATACTGCATTCAATGGTGCTTTTTATTTTTATTTTTATTTTATTTTATTTTTGGTAGTAGGAGAATAAGCATGCATTTTGTTTGGTTGTAGTTAATTGAGTGATGTATCACTGCGGACGGAAGGAAAACTGATACTTCTCATAAAAGCTGAATTTCCATCATTGGTAGAAAAATGCTCAGTATGAGATAGGTGCTCTCTGCAGGCCTGGTTTTCATGTTGTGTTTTAAGGAGGACTCTGCCCTCACAATAAGAATAGACTATGGGACGATGTTCTATAGGAGCTGTGACATAAAAACATGCTATTTGTGTATTCCCTGGTGTTTCATTTTCCTGTGTAGTGTCTCAACAGTTGCAAAAACAGCCCCAGCATAGACCAAAAGCAATAGAAGAGCAGTTCTACTTTTTGAGAAGTTTTCCCCTCTCAGTAACCATTGTGCATGCATACACACAGATGCAGAATGGAAACTTCTGTTAAAATCTGATGACTTGTTGTAACAGTTATTTACCTTGATGCAATTGACTCATGAACACAAGACTGAAAGAGACATCTCTGACTACCCATTCTGCTCAACCTTTCTAATAAGCAGCTCTTAATCTTTATGTTTAAATGGCAGCTGTATAGTCTATGTTTATCTAACAAAGGGTTGGGGCTGCTCTGTTTGTTTGCTTGGATTCTAATTGCCTTACAAAGGCTGTACCAGGAGCTTATGGTCCTGCTTGTCCTGCTTCTCCTTCATTGGAAGAGCCTCCTTTAATAAAACCTTCTTCCTGACTGCCCATGTGAAAGGCTGTAGCCTGCCTGCACACTTTGGCCCATTGTGGCATGTGGTTGTCCTCTGTGTTCATGATGACTTTCACCTCACTGCTGCAGAAGCCAGCATACTTCTTGTACACCATACTCATTAACTGGAAAAAGTAAATAGGATCAGTCCTGAGATGAAATGCACTGACTGCTGACGTAGCATCCTGGCTCTCTGCTCCTTTTCTTCACCAGTGAGTGGGACTGTAATTCATGCTTCTGAGCAAGATGTGCAAGAAGATGCATTTAGGTTTAACTGAAGTCTGACTGGTTACAAACAGGTTCTATCCGAAGGAAATTCGTGGGTAGGAAGCTTTGGTTAATTTTTGTAAAAGTCTTAGATAGCAGCTAATTATAAAATGACCTCAGAAACCTGAGAAAGAACAGACAGACCTGCTTTTCACACTCCATGTGGATTCATTGCTAATTGTGGGTTTTAATTGATGGCATGATTCTAATTGAGTAGGAAAAAAGAGCCTTCATTTACTGTACCTAATCAAATGCCCCACAAGTTCAGTGTAACAAACTACTTTGCTGATGGTAATGCCCTTTCAGACATAATTCCAGTTGTGTTTCTGAGGGTATGTGGCAGCTAAAATGTGGCCCTTGTGGTTCTGTTAAAGACAGTCTTTTACTAGTGAATATTACAGAGCAGATTAAGAAACACCATTTTTTTTGAAGCTGCTTGTGTGCCATCTGTTGTCCTGTGGTTCAGCACGTACTTTTCCAGCACTGTCCTGATGGATCCACATACAGAGTTGGTTAGGCTGGCAGTAACTTACCTTACAGAATCAGGGCCGTGTCCTGCATGGACTGGCCTGTGCACTTGTCAGGTGAGAGAGCAGGGAGAGCTGAACCCACTGTTGGCTTTTTGACATGGAAATAGCAAAAAGTAGAAAAATCCTCTGTGGTTATGAATAAAACTTTGCTTTGTAAGGAGAAATTTTGCCAAAAAGAGAGAACGTTAAGAAGAAATGTTCTTGGCATCTGTTAACCCTGTCTGTCAGGGAGCAGTATATTGCTTGATCATAGAGTTGTTTCATCTTTTGTAGGCATGTTAAGACTGATTAGTCTGATGGCCTTGGAGATTGAAACTGTCTGGCAGCAGGCAGGCTTGGTGTTGGCTCTTCAGCTGTGTGGTTCTGCCTAAAATGTCTGTTGTTCCCCGCCTTGGTCCACAAGATCTTACCAGAACATGTTTTCCAGGGTTGGGCCAGGCCAAACAAAAACAACTCCCTTACTTTTGATGAGCATGAAATAACCGTCAATCCAATATTTGTCAACTGAATTGGGATTTATTTTTATTTATTTATTTATTTATTTTGAGTCTTGCAACTGTTCTGTCTGATACATTCCAAACTCCTGATAAGCAACATTAGAAATGCATTTTAATGCATTTTTTGGCATTGGAGCAAAAGCCAAAGGATGCCCACCAGTAATTCCATAGCTGGGCAGCCAGGCTTGTGGCTGAAGGAAGCTGCTCTAAATCGGCTGTTGACTAGGACAGCCACAAGGGAGCAAGCAGCCTTCTCTGGGAGCTGGCTTTTGTACTCAGAGGTTGGTAATTACTCTTCCCACAGGTAAAGGTGCTGCTCATCACTTTAGGTGTCGCAAAAGGGATTTGCTTTGTTCCTTTTGCCTCTACACTTCAGAGGCTTGGCCTGGAATAGTGCGAGTGCTGTATTGTTAATGGTGCTCAGTCACTGTCAGCCTGCCAGTATTGCAACTGCTGCTTTGCAATGCTGTAGGACCCCACTGTTCTATTTCCTTAAAGGAATGAGATTAATGTAAAATAAATAAATAAATCTTCTGCCTGCAGAGGTTTTCCTCATTGAATCTGTAAGTGCTTAAAAGCTTGCTTAAAGGCTTGTCTGTGCTAAGGAGTACCGTACTCCTGCAGCAACCAGGGTGTGTGCACATCTTGTTGGTTTTTAGCTCTGGTCTAAAGTAGGTCCTGCAGTGAGGTCATGCAGCTCTGCTTGCACAGTAACCTGTAATGGAGATGAGCTATAGCAGATTACTTTAAGTGAAGAAGATTAGAAGTGTGAAGAGAGGTGCTTTTGCTCTTTGGTTTGTTCTTTTTCTGTGTGTGTCAGCACTCTGTGAACACAAACCTTCTTTATATTCAGTTAATTCCTTCCTCCGTGTTTGTTTGGATCTTTCAGAAAGCAGCACAGAAGAGAAAGGCATTTAAAAGCGGGGATACATCTCCAAAGTCACAAGAATAGGCAAAGATAACACCTGGATTTGTGGGGAGTATTCCTTTGGAGTCTTATGAAGTGGATTAGTTGAGAATATTCTTAACTTCTGAGCAGCCTACCTAGTTCTGTCCGTTGACAGACCCACACAAGCAGGTAGCTGCAGGATGGCAGAAGGTGCAGAGCCCAGCATTCTGCACAGCTCGCTTCCTCCTGCAGTAGCCAGCAGATTACTGCCTGATAGTGCAGGGAGGCATGCAGTGCTGGGCCTCTCTGGGCAAGAGCTCCAGACGAGTCTCTTCTTTGTCCAGTTCCATGAAACGTGTTGGTACTGGGGCACTTTGGGGCCTGTGCTCCTGGTAAAACTTGTCTGAAAACATCATGCAGATTTAGTAGTTGCTCGGGGACTCATCAATAGAGATATGTGCAGCAAGATCACGTTTACTTTGTTTATTGACAAAATCAAGCTAAATGATCTCTCAATCTTTTCATGTCCTTGTAATGGCTGTAAATATAATTAACAGCTTAGCTTGACATTTTGTTGAGAGTCAGTCTCACAGGAAGGAGAGATGCTTGTTAATATTTGTAGTGTGAGAAATAATACTTCTGTTGGCTGCAGCTGAGGTGGTTCACATTGGAGTAGGGCCATCAGGCCGCCTGGCGGCCCTGACCTCTTCCCACAGACACCTCACCAGGAGGCACTGCTTTGTCTTCAGCCTCATCTCCTATGGGCACATCTTTGTGCTGTACAGACTTATTCCCCTCCTCCTGCATTTCTCCCTATATTTGATCTGTTGGTAGCTCTCAGTCATGTTTGACAGACAGGTGGAGGTCACAAAGACTGGTGTTTTCCCCAGGTTTCACATCCTGTGACTGCTTATGGCAGGTCGTACTGAGGTGAACACTGTGCCAATAGAGATACGTGTTTGGTCAGACGTCAGAGAATTGTGTGGGAGCCTGTCCTTACCAATACCCCAGCCTAAGAAAAGCTGCTGAAAGAGCTTATTAGGCGTGTGGCACAAGATTCTGGCAGGCTGGGCTTCTGTCATTCCTAGTGCTGACAGAAGTAGTCGTTATGATTTCTGTGTAGAACAAAATGGATCTCAGTGGCTGGGAAACAGGCTGCCTCCGTTCAGATCTTCGTAGTCTTTGCTGTGGGGTAATGGGCTTAAGCAGAAGGGCAGTGAAAGCAACTTGTGCCTGATGCTGGGAGAGTGTGGGGTAGGCACTGCACGTTTGGCTGCTTACACTTCACTGAAAAGTCCTTGGCTGCTTGATGCAGCTGCCACGCAGATCTAAGACAGGAAGAATTCAAAAGCAAGGCAACTAATGGGAGCATGGCCTTTTAACTGAAAAAAGCTTTCCCTCCTGCATCCCTTCAGTTTGTGGCACTTTTAGGATTTATCACAGAATGTGATACATAGTTTTCCTGTTGTTGTTCTTTTGACTTTTCTTTTCATGTATGGTTTTTCACAGTCAGCAGGCCTGTAACCACGACCCTGTAAAGTACTTTCTCTGTGAAGCAACTGGAAGTGTAAGTAGTGCAAGGTGGCAGAGACTTGCACTGGATCATGCAGAGAACCAGTAGCATAGCTAACATTAGGCTTCTGCTCACCTTCCTTCTCCATCTTCCACCAAAGAACCCCAACATGTTTGCAGTTTTCCCTTTGTTTTGTAACTGGAAATTGGTTTTGTTGTCTTACACAGTCAATGCAAGTTAAGAGCGATATAGTAGATACATATTTTTTAAGGTTGTTATTAGTGCTTCATGTTTTGGCCTAAGAATACACAAAAATAGAAGATATGATAATTCACTTTGGTCCCCAGTGTCAAATATTGATTGCTTATATAAATACTTAGCTACTATTGACTTGGAGATCAGCATTGTTTTCTTGTGACTTATGCTGCATCAGATCATATACATGACATGTCGGAATTGTGTGTATAAGTGAATAATAGCCTCATCTTTTTTTCCCCACCTTTCTGACTTTTTTTTGCTCGTGCTCTTTTTTGATAGTACTAATTCAGAGAGAAACATCTGAATCTGTTTTCCTGAAAGCTTAGCAAGTGTTGTTACTACTTCTCAGCAGAAAGTAGAAACCTTTGCTAACAAGTAAGGAACTTATTCATTAAAGTTTTGAAAAATTAAGCTTTCCTGTGGCCTTTTTTTTTTTTTTCTTTCTTTTCTTTTCCATTCTCAGTGATTTTAAAAGTACAGCAGCATACCCTCAAGGACAAGAAGATATTCTGAGTATGGGCTGCTGTAACACTACCTTACGAAGCTAGGAGACTGCCTAAAACAGGAGAAAGAGCTGCCTGTTCTCAGTGCAGTAGGATACTGATTCTGAAGCATCTGTTATATTAATGCTGTTCCCACATGAATGGTTCATAAGACAAAGCTTCACTCATTTGAAAATATAAACTGAGTAAAAAAACGTATTTTTGATTCAAGTAGCTTTTTTTAATTGATTGATGCCAAATTTTGGTATTCTAAATCAAGTCATCCCATAGACATCTGTGCACAGTTTCATTTTTCTTAAATTTTGGTTTGATGGAATTACTCTGCTTTGAATTAAAAGTGATATTTTAATAACGGAATCTGCACAAACAGTGTCTAATGTGCACTCAGAAAACACGTTTGTCCTCCTGTGAGATTTGTGCTGGGAGACTTGCAGCTAAAGCTGTTGAGAGAATAATCACAGGAGTGTGTGAGAAAGACATATGAGACCTTAGAGGAATTTGTTGTAATGTTGTAGTCTTAGAGACGTGTGGCTGTATCATGTACCTCTGCTGTGGAGTCGTGGCAGATCTTGGTTATTTAGTGGCCTTTGAAGAATTGCAGGGGTTCCAGGTAGTCAGTATTTAGCAGCCTAATGGAAGGCTAAAGTTGTGTTTGGATTGAATGATGTGTTTCATTCACAAGTTTCTCTGTGTGTTTTATAGAGCAACCAGTTTGGATTTAGCTCCATCAGCACACAAATAATATTCCTGATCCTTGCCACCCGTTCAGTCTGCCATTTCTATATGAGATATAGCAGTTGACTGTAGTGAAAAACTGATGCTGAAGAATGGAAATAATGGATTACTGCTTGGGTTTAATTCCTTTTGAGTCTAAGCTGATGTAAACTTCTCTCAGTATGTTAATGCTCAGTTTAAGTTACCAATAAACTTGCCAGCACAAGTTCATTTAAATAATATGGAACTTAAACCTTCTTCTTCCTTGAAAATCACTATTTGCAGAAATATTTAGTGGGAAATAGACTGAGAAAGGTTTGCCTGTGAGAGCACCACAGTCTACATGCCCAGCTATTGTGCTGTCCTAGGAATCAGTAGTAGAGTACTGTTTTATTTGGCTGTGGGATTCAAGAGTCAGCTGCAATTCATTATGAACAGACCCTAGAGCAAAAAAAGTATTCTTCTCCAAGTCTCTGGATATTGATTGAGCTACTTCCCTGGCTGTTCTCAGGCTCCAAGTCACAGCTTCTTAGGTTTTGTGATCTCTAAGTTAAACCAGCACAAGCTAAAACATGGATTACAAGTGTTGGCTGTGATGCCCAGAGACTCTGTGCAGGGATGTCAGACCCTGTGTGAAGGCACACGGTGCTGCTCAGCTTTGAGCAGCTGGAAGCAACAGGCCTTGGTGTGATAGAGTGAAGTGGTGAAGCTGAGGGGTCCAGCAGCCTTAAGAAGAAACAGAGGAAGAACTGGCATGTTTTTGAATCTGACAGGCTTGGTTTAAATATTTCTTCTTCTGGGTAGAATCATGGTGAATTGTAATAGTGAAGGCTTTGTACCAGCAATGTCAGGTGCCCAGGCTTTAGCATAAAAAAGTGCCTAGCAGGAGGCTCAAGCTCCCATGAGACTGGCAGAGTACACAGTAGGACCTTATATCAGAAATCCTGTGGGTAAGGTACGCTTTGTTCATTCCAGAAGTGTTTTCACAGATTGCTAGCGAAGGTTTTGGTGTGCTGAAGATGTTTTCCTGTTTCTGAACCAAGAATGCAACAGTAATTTTACTTCTTGTTTTTAGTTTCAGGTACCCAGTACTCTTGCTTTTGATGTGCATTTTAATTACTGCTTGCAGCTCAGAACTGTGCGTATAATGTAGCTGTTGTTATTTTATATTTCTAGGTCCGCTGGCCTTCTTTCCTCAGTGGAAGCTGAAACATTATGATGTTGTTGTAGGTGTTTTGTCAGCTCGCCACAATCATGAACTGCGCACTGTTATAAGGAACACGTGGTTCCAGCACTTGAAACAACACCCAACACTGAGCCAACGGTAATCTCTAGTGTTTTGAACTTTTGGGGCTGTGAGAAGAAAACAATATTATGCATAAATCTCTTGATTTAATCATTTTTTTAAAAAGGATTTCCATTTTTTCTTTTTTTTTTTTTTTCCCCCTTCATTTTGAGCATCTTATGTTCCAATCATTTTAAAATCTGCTTAGTGCTGTATAAAAATACTGCTTGTTCCAGGCTGGAACTGTTTTATACAGGTAATTCTAATTGTACAACTGTATACAGAAACTTTTGATTGTTCAACTGCTCACTGCTGTTCAGTTTTACAATTAATTGCTGTTGTTCATTAGTGGTGTAGCAGACTTTCCCTTTTTCATGTTACAGTATATGTTTTGTATGGTATGCAGCTTGAGGTGCTTAGTAACTCAGAATACTTGAAAGCAAGCACAATTGTCTTTGGTGAGAGCACCACAAAATGTTTTTTTACAGCTTCAACTGTCAAGTTGAGGTAAAGTTTAGGTGTATTTCCCACTGACACAAGTATACCAGCAGAACTCCTCCTGACCAGTCACTTAGACCTGTCAGTCTGCAGACCAGACAGTTTCTACTGAGAAAGTTCTGCAGTTCATTCCTGGAATCACTGTGAAACTTATAGGCCTCCCCTCTAGGTACCTGCCTTATACTGAAAGTCATTTGCTGTTCACAAATTTGGTGTCAGTGTGCAATACGGAGCGAAGCATAGCTGCTTTGGTTATCTGAAAATGTGCCCTTTCATAGCTTTGATGGAATCTGAGGAGGATATTTAGCCACTGAGTGAAAGACTGGGTGAAGTCGATGCTTTGCTGGTTGTACTGCTTATTGTCTCCTGACTTGCACTGTCAGGACTGGGGCTGAAAACAACAATCCCGATCCTGGTGGCCAGTATTCCTGTGCCCTTGTGTAAAAGGCTGGTGTGTGTTTGGAGCTGAGCCCCCACACACAGATTCATAGTTTATCTATGAAGAAACCCTCATTGTTAATCTTAAGGGGTTTTAAATCTTAATCCTGGGGATGACGGGCTGCTGTAATGAAATAAGTTTATTGAAGGTGAAGGGAGGAGGGAAAAGAACTGGTGTTAATAAAACCAAATTATTTTAGTGTCCTTGTGAAGTTTATAATAGGTGCGCGTGGTTGTGCTGTGCCAGTGGAGGACAGAGAAGACCCCTACTCCTGCAAGCTTCTGAACATCAGTAATCCAGGTATAGAAGTTAACTTCTAAAAATTCTGTGTTCTGAACTAGAAATAATCACCTTTTAATAACTTGAGGTGCTTAACTGAGATGGATAGTCCTTAAATGAACGCCGCCTAGAATTTGCTGTTCTGACAGTCACATAACCTTCCTGTAAGTGCCAAGTGCAGGCATGGAGAGGAGAGGTCTTGAAGGTGTGAAGGGGAGGCTGTTGGATTCTAATGAATTTGCATTCTTCTTGTATCAAGGAATGGTCTCTCCCATGTGATATATTTTCCCTACACATTTTTTACTATATCCCTGTGTGAAATCAAGTTGGAGAAAGCTTCAGTGACGCAGTCCAGTACCATACATGAGTGCAGACAGTAGCAAGGCAAGACAAGGAGTGTCAGGCAGACGTTTCTGTTGGTGAATTGAGTTCCAAGCAGACTTTTCTGTTGTTCCGAGCAAGTCTGGCTGATAGATTTTTTCAAGGGTATAGTGAAATGCTGCCTTACAAAAAATACTTTAACTTAAATTACAAATTTCTTCCTGACATTTTTTTTTTTCTATTTAATTTTTGCTCTTTAATTACGAGTTATCTAAGGACTGCCTGGCTATGGAGCCAGAGTAACTTCTGTAACCTTTGGATATGAATAGCAATAACCTCTGCTTAGCCAGTCCCAAGAATAACCATTGCCTCAGGGCACGGGGGAGGGCATAATGCTAAAACAGGCAGCCAAGTTAAGCAAAAATATGTGTCATTTTGGATGTAATTATTTTAATATATTAATACACAGACATACACATGATCAAGTAGCATTTTTATCTTCATCCTGTGGATTTACTGTTTTTCTCTGTGGATGCATAGGCACTGAATTACTGTTGCTGGTAACCTGCAGACTGCTGCATCACTGGGAGTTTCTCCTTACTGCAGTCTGCAGTCAGCTGTCTTTTCTTCTCCTCCAGCATTTGGTTATCCTTGTGCACTTGCCAGCCATGCAAGTTAATCAGCATGCTTTGCGTGTATCCAGTGTGCTTTGTGTATATGCAGTTCCAGAACTATAAAATATTCTCACATTATCTCTGTTCTTTCTTTTTTCATCTAGTTTTGAATCAGGAAATTGAAGCATTCAGCCTCCCTGAGGACGCACCTTCTGTGCTATCTGAGGACAGAGTTGTCAGTGTGAACTTCCGTGTGCTTTACCCCATTGTCATCACCAGTCTTGGGGTCTTTTATGAAGCTGATGGGGTGGGATTCCAGAGGAACATCACTGTCAAACTGTACCAAGCAGAACATGAGGTAAAGTATTACACTTATCTTTTCCAGGTGACCTGAGGCATATTGTCTGTATTGCAAACCTATTTCGTATAGAAAGCAACATGCTGTGTTGGTGATTTAGAAGAGCAATACTTAAATGGCAAGCACAGGAATTCTATTTTACTTTAGTTGCATCATAAATTCTTATTTCACAGCTATATATATGCAGTACAGGTGAGGAAAAGAAAAGGAAATTAAAACAATTTCATAAAGTGCTATGAGTTAATTTCAATGCTTTTTGAATGAACACTAATAGCTAATTCCAGGCTACACTTCTGGTTACATTTGAGATTCTAAAATATTAATAAGTATTAAGGAGTAAAAGGTAATCTGTTAAATATATGTAAAACACGTGCCCAGAAAAACACATTGCATATTTTTGTCCCAAAGTCATTGTATGTCTGAAATTTTTTCTTGTCTATTCTTTGGCAAGGCATTTTGGCTTTTTTTTTTTTTTTGAAAATGCTGCTTTTTACAGGTAACGAACTTCCCCCAGTGCAATTCAAACAGTGATAATTCCCCTAACTTCTAAGCTCAGATGTGGGTATAACACACACATAATTTAGTATCTGGAGGGGAAAAAAAAAATAATTGAGCATAATCAGGAAGCACTTCTGTGCTGTGCAAGTGACAGAGCACTGGTGCAGGTTGCTCCACTCTCCCTGGAGATCTCCAAAAGCCACCTGGACGTGGCCCCAGGCACCCTGCTCTGTGCGTGTCTGGAGCAGGGAATGGAGCACGTGGACCCAGAGGTTCCCTGCTAACCTCGTCCGTGCTGTGATCCTGTGGTGTTCACTGCACTTAATATATTGCACTTATCTCTCCTAATAATTTGGTGGGCCAATGTCAAGATATACAGTAATACAGTAGAAAGAATTTTAAATTTAAGAAAATAATTAAGTGCAGAAAATATACTGAAGTATGACTTTTATGGATGAATAATGAGAGCTGGTTTTATAATACAAAAAAAGGTATAATATAATCAGATTTATGTTTGCTAAATGGTAGAATACTAAATGTTAACAGCCTAATAACTTGATCTGTTTTTACTTCCAGTGAAGGTGAAAAATTAGTAAGAAAGCTTGGAGACTTTTTCTAAAGATTGGAAATCTGGTGATGCAGCATCTTTATGTCACTCTTTTACAACCTAAGAGCTGTTTGGTGGCCTATTTAATATAGTCCTAATTAAGTTTTAGGGGACAGCATCCTCTGTTGCAATAAATAGCAGTGAGCTATTTAAACAGAAGATAGAAAGTCTGTTATCTGGGACACTGAGTCTTCCAGATGATGTGCTGCCTTGGCTGGATTCTGGTTGAGCTCACACTCTTGTTTCATTGTTGCTTGCTTCCCCCTCCTCAGTCCAATGCTTGAATACCATGGAGTCTCATAGGCTGTCTTGGGAAGACAATTTCCAGTAATCTTTATACAATCTGTAAGTCTGTTTCCATTGTAACTGAGATGATCGAGATTTGCCTAATCTCACAGCACTTGTACTACATTTATTGTTCACAGGAAGCTCTCTTCAGTGCGCGCTTTAGCCCACCAAGCTGTGGAGTACAAGTGAACAGACTGTGGTACAAGCCAGTGGAGCAGTTCATTTTGCCAGAGGTATGCATGGTGTCAAAAGTGTCTTCAGTTCTCTTAAGTCAGCCAGAGTGATTGTCTCATAGAACTGGCCTATGCTTGAGGCAGAAACGGGCAAGTGAAAACCTCTGGGAGTTCATATTTGGGGTCCAGAATTTCTTTTTCACTATCTAGATTACCACCAGTTGTTAAAAAGGAAAATGTGATTAGTTGGAGAAGATGTTTCTGCTTCCAGTATCTTGGACACAGCAGTGGTGTGTTATGGTTGCAATGGCAGTGGTAGCCAAATACTTATTAAGATGTGCTTACTTAGATCTTCTGAAATTTCAGTAGTTGTGTTTCTGAACAACATTGGGAAGGAAATTGTTTCATTACTGAACCACGCAGGAAAACTTCAAGGACTTTGGTAGAGTCATCTTGTAAAATATAAGCTGGAGGATGTGGCACCGAGTAGGCTGTGGGTTTTCACATGGTAAAACTTGTATTTTAAAACATGTCAATGTTCTGTGGCTGTGCCCCTCAGAAATTAGGGAAAGACCTTTATTCTAGGCAGTAATGACAGCACTGGCATTCTTAATTGCCCTGAGATACCGTTAGCCAAGCTGTCAAGGTTTGAAGGGTTTGTTTGTTTGTTTTCTTCTTATTGGCTTTGGGAGGTGCAGTCCAAGACAGATTTTGGTATAGGGCTATAGTTGTGGCAGCTTGGGAAGGAACGTGATTGAACACAGAAGGAACAGAATACAGGAAGGAAAAAAACCTGATATTGTTATAGTGGAAGGCTAGTGAATATAGGTTGACTCAGAATGAGGATTCCGGTTCAACAGATCCTCCTGGGTCCAGGGATTTTTCCTGTTGGACCAGCAGTACCACTTTAAATATGTCAACTGCCATTTTATGTTGTTTTTCTTCATTTAAGTATTCTTCTACATGATTGGGTCTTTGCTGCTATTTATGTAAGTTGTCTTTGGGTCTGGGTTGTTTTTTATGGCAGAAGTTAAGTGTTGTCTGAAAGAATGCAGTCAGAAACTGAAAGGGAGGGGAAGACATTTGGGTCAGTTTCATCCTGATTTATTTCCGTGGCTCTGCACTTGGAAATCCGCTCCTTTTAAGAGGACTGCTGCTGATTAATTGGTTTGTCATCTTAATCAAGTTTTAGACATTTTTTTTTAGTGTTGCTTCCTGAGTAATTTGCTAGTATAACAAGGAAGACTTACACCTCGTAGTCGTTGTTCTGAGACACTAAAATTCTAGGCAGTTGTAATTTGGGTATAAATGACTGCATTTTCCGTGAAAGGCAGATGGGAAATATTTAATTTAGGAAGAGGATATTAGTATTCATTTATTTCTTTGTGTGGGCATCCTTAATCTGATATATATCATGCGCTGAATGCTTACAGGATAACATGATGTTTCTAACGTAGATTAATATGGTTTATGCACAGCATGTCGTCTTCTGTGATAGTTAAGATGCTGAAGCATAAAAGATGATTCAGAAGAGATAGAACGCCCACGTGTTCCTACCTACTTCTTTAGCAGTAAATTTAGTGAACGGTTTAATTATCACAAGATGGTTTCTGAGACAATATCTATTCTCTGCCCTTGCACCTTCAAGAATTAATGGATTGTACAAACTGCTGAAGAGCTTCATTCATCTTCCAACTGAAGTGCTGCTCTTTCTCCTCATCTGGAGGAAAGGGAGAGAAACGCAGCATAGAAGAAGCATCTGGCAAGCCAGATTGCTGGAGGCTGAACTGATGGTTCCACTTTGCAGCGACTGAAGGCACAGAAGAGCAGAACCACCAGCAGATAACTAAAACTTACACGTGGGGTTCCTACAGCCAAGTCCTAGGAATGCATTTATGTTGACAAAAAGCCAAAGGCCGCTTGCATGAAAATGGAGCTCTGTGCCATATGTATTCCATACCACTGATGGGAAGTAGCTGGAGAGACAAAAAGGACAGTGCTGTTTAACATTAGGAAAGGAGTTTGGCAGGGCTGCATTATGTCAGTACACCTGTTCGGTATTCACTGTAATTGCTGCTGCATTCTGGCAACAACAAGATTGGAATTTAAATGGGGAAAAACAGATGATGTAGTCTCAGGTGTGCCACTAATGCTTTGCTTTCAGCATTTTTGGGCTTCAGTTTCCATTAAACAGCTTAGAGTAAGAATAGCTGAAGGTTAAAGTAATTAGAAAATTTGCTTACAAGTCTCTCAACCTGGAAAGTAGTGATAGTTTGCAGCTTCAGAACGTTTAGGGTTCACTGGTAAAAATGGATTAAGACTCCTAGTACATGTTTGAAGTCAGTAATATTGAAAGGTAAGAATTTTAATGTTGTAACGTTTCTGATTGCTGAATGGTGAAAGGACTTAGAAGCTTACTAAACAACTGAATAGTGGTTGTGTCTTTTATATGAGGCGTAAAAGTGGGATTAAAGCCCAGTCCCTACTTAAAAATGAAAATAAGTCAGAATGGTAGATGACATCTGCTGCAAATACAGACATTCAGTGTATGGGTTTCACTGTGCATTGATGTTTATGGGTCCTGGTACTAAGAAATGTCTTAGTGGCCATTTGATTTGATAACTGACAGGTATTTGAAGAAGTGAGGGAAAGATACTGAGCATGCAAATCAGGCTTGAGTAAACACTGACTAGCTCTGTTATTAGATTATAAAGCTGACATTATAAATAATAGATATGATCCTTCTGAAATATGCAGCTGTAATTAACCTCTGAGACTGTTGCAGATGTTAAGACCTACTTCTGGAGAAAAGCAAAGAATCGAGCAGGGATGTAAGCTGGACACAGTGGTTGGTCAGTAACTGGAAAAGATGTACAAGGAAGCTTAAGTGGGATAAAGCTGGGAGGCTAGTAAAATTAAACTGAAATGCATCTACAAAAATAGCTGAAACATGTTGTTTCTGTTCTGAGACCCGTACCTACCAGTGTTTTTCCTATGAAACTGGGAGAAACAAAACTGAATGCACTCATCATTTAGCAATCAGGAGTGTAATATCCCTGCAACTACTCCACACCATCTTGTGATTAAGATGAGATGATTTCAAAGAAAGAAAGAAAGAATATACACTATTGCCACCACTCTTAGCTGTTCAGCATACCACTTGTTCTTCCTAGGGGTCTTTGGGAAGTCTTATATAACATAGGTAACAGTTGGACCGCTGGAGGGATGAGTTTCAAGTTGAGATGAAGTGCTTCTAAATGCAGTATATTTTTAAAGGAATGACATAAATTAAGAGTTAAAAATATTCAGTTCTGAAAAGATTCAGTTATTTTTCCTTCTCCTTTCCCTGCCTGCCAAGATGACATGCCAGAGTTCTGTGACTACAGTGGTTTGTGACAGCTTTGCCAGTATAAAGATGGCACTGTTTTCCTTTGAGTTTTGCTGATGTCATGCTCAAGGCTCTGATCTCTGGTTATGGCAGATAACTAAAAAGCAGCACTTATTTCCAAATCTGTTTTAACATACATCTTGCTGATGTTAAAAAGGCAAAAGCTTTTGCAATAGAGATTTCTGTTAAAAATTTAATGTTCCTAATTCACATTCATGATTAGTCCTAAAAGCATGGTTGTATTACTGAGTTTCACAGATGTATTTTTCTGAGACTTTTTTGAAGTATAAGTAAAACATTTATGTTGTGTTCAAGCTGTCCATTTTGTGAAGTTGACTATTTTAAAATTAAAAAAAAATCCACACAAAACTGTTTAATTTTTTGAAGTCTTTGAATACCTGCATAACCGCTTCCTGCTCTCTTAACAGAGTTTTGAAGGCACCATTGTATGGGAGAGCCAGGATCTACAGGGCCTTGTTTCAAGAAACCTTCACAAAGTGATGGTGAATGATGGAGGGGGTGTTTTCAGAGTCATTACAGTGAGTCAGCTTATCTTCTCTTCCACCACATTTCCATTTTTCCTAGAACTCTCACAACTTAGCGTTTTGCTTTCCTGCATTTCTCTGTAAAACATTAATTCAGTTGGGCCTCTGATGTCTCAGAGCAGAAGTTTGCTTTACCCAGGAAAAGAACTGGAGCATACAAGAAATGGTGCTAGCGTGGGACGTGTTCTTGTGTTTTGAGAGAAGTGAAGTTCACCCATTGTATTTCAATAGGTGATGAAATAAGAGATGCCCAGTGTTACTGCGGTTTTGGATTCAGGGTGCACTAGCTTTAAGTGAAACTTTAAAAAATGCCACAAAAGTTTGCAGTTCAAAATCTTAATCTTTGTCTTTCATTATGCAGTCACCTCAACCAGAATTGTTTTCAACTCATTTCATTCTTAGTTTTCAGGAAATTTCACGTCCTAAAATCAGTGGAAAGCAGGTCAGTAATGCAAGTTTAAATAATTTATTCCTTTCTATTACTGTGTCCTCAACAGGCAGGGGAAGGGCTGTTGCCACATGAACTCACAGAAGGTGTGGAAGGGATAGCAGGTGGTTTCATCTACACTATTCAAGGTAAGTTTTCAGACAGCATTGCATTTGATGTTATGATAAAACAGGAACTTTAAGTTACTTTTCTGAGGTAAAATTAGTGCTCACTCTGTTAACTTGATCAGCTTATTGTCTCTACTAAAATAATTATTTCTTTTTAATGCCCAGCATCAATATCCTGCCGTAGCTTCTTTGTTTGCCCCTTGTCAGCTGCTCCAATTGACTTCAATCTCATTGTCTTTTTATTAACAGAAACAACATTTTTCAGTAGTCTCTTCAGCCCTTGTTTTCTGTAACCCACACCCAAGTTTAAAAACACTGTGTGCAATGTGGTCCTCAGGAGATCTTTCCTGGGTAACGTTCACGTGTGCTCCCGTCCTGCTACTTTCAGAATTATTATTATTAATGTTTGCTATCAATAACTAACAAACAGTTACCTAATGCAGCCTGCTTGTTCACTGCTGCTGTTTTACACCTATTTCAGCAGAACATTCAGAGACTCTATAAGGGCCCTTTTCAATTTCTTAAGATTTTGGCCACATGGTACTGTAATGTATTCTCATCTGTGCATCATAGCCAACACAGGTAATGACTTTCAGAGTGTTACTGCTGTCTTTTTGTAGCTAGATGTAGCGATATGGCTGGGCAGTCTTTTCATCTTGTCTTTTGTGTAGAAACATAAACTGAGATGTGCTAAGGCCCATCCCTCCTGATGTTGGATAAATTCCTGAGTGCCACAAACTCTCTTCTTACCAAGAAGTTCAGTATTGCAAGATCTTTTTAGCTTTTACCTACAGTCAGGTATGTGGTGAAGTTCAGCAGGGGCCAACTATGCTACATCAAAACAATGCCAGTTTGGTTATCTTTAGCAAAGGATATTTTGTTTGTTTTGAGGTTTCTATAGCAGTAACAGAGTAAAGCCTTTCTGCTCTGCTGGTAAGAGTGAACAGCTCTTTGCATTGAATAACTTCAAAAGGTTGAATTCTTTTGTTACTGAAGATTTGTTCTGCAACTTTTAACCTCATATATATTTTAAAATTGACTGTAGGATTTTTGTAATCTCATTAAACACCTTTCCAGATTTGTCTGTATGCTGCATATGATCCAAAAGAAATATGTAAAATACTATGTGGATATGCATCTTTGTTTAATGATGGCTGCTGCTTCTTTCAGAAGGTGATGCTCTTTTAAAAAGCCTCCATACTCGCCCAGAAAGGTTTACAAGTCATATAAAAAGTCTTGAGAAGGAAGATATTTTACTGGAGGAAGAAAGCAGTACCTATGATGATATTGTTTTTGTAGATGTTATTGACACTTACAGAAACGTTCCATCTAAACTACTGAACTTCTACCGATGGTAAGTTGAAAGAATGGTGTTTCCTCTTAGGAATGTTGTTTGTAGTGTGTGAGATAATCCAGCATATTACATTATATGACAGCTTTCACAAAATGCGTACCTTATGTGATTTCCTTCTCTCTCACAATTTTGAGGCACATAGTATATGCAATGAATAAAGTATTTGGTGCCTTAAATGAGCATGGCCTGGCAAAGCAGACGTTTCTGCTCTAAGAGTCCAGGTGACAAAATTGTTGTGTCTTTGAATTTCTTCTGTTTGTGACATGCACTTTTAGTTTTCTAAAGGATGTTTTTTGGCCAGCTTGTAACCTTAGAGTTTCAGTTTGTGCCCATTGCCTCTTGTTGTGTTGTCGGATACAACTGAAATGAGACTGGCTCTGTTGACTTTACACCCTGCCTTCAGGTATCTGTAGATCCCGATGAGAGCTCTCCTGAGCTCCTTTTTTTTTCAGGCTGAACAGTCCCCCGCTCTCTCAGCCTTTCCTCATAAGAAAGCTGGTCCAGTCCCAGATCCTCTTAGTGGCCCTGCACTAGATGCTCTCCAGCCAGTATATCCATGTCTCCTTACTGATTAGCCCCTGGACTGGACGCTGTCCTTCAGTTGTGTTCTCAGCCACGCTGAATGGAGGGAAAGGACAGGAGGATTGCATAGTGTGGGAAAGAAAGAGTGAGAGGAAGCATTTTCATAATATATTTTATCATCTGTGTTATTCTGAGACAACTGTTTCAGTTAATTGATCTTGAATGGAGTAAGAAGTATAGCTGACAGTTTTAGCTGCCTGCGAGATTCTACATTTCCTTAGTAAATGTCGTGGTTAAGAATGTAACTGAAAACTGAAACATGCTTTCAGTTCTAAAAAGGGAGATTAAATGTAAAGATGTAGATCTCAGTGATCATTTCTTAAAGATTAGCAAAATCTTCAGGATTTAGTACTGTAAAACTTAAGGAAAATGCCTTTCTGCCTGAAATTACCCTCGGAAACAAAGTTAGATTAAACCAAGGAATAATCTCTAGAATCTCAAGCTTTGGCTATTTTACAGATGATGGATATTTCAGACAGTTTCAAATAGCTTTTTTCCTATTAGAAGCATGCTTTGTATAGGAAGCCTAAGTACCAGGTTGTTTCCTCAGGTGTTCTGTGTAACTTCCTACAGCTGTACTGCCCTTGAATTGACCGTCTCATCCTGAGGAACAGACCACTAACTTTTAACAGCTGTGTGGCCATCATCACCAGAGATTCATATCCTTCTGAGGCCAATACTGCTTAAGGCAGATTTATTTGTAAATCCTCCATCTGTACTGGAGAACAGAACAGAACTGCAGGATTCTTTTCTGCAGATCCATGCTATAAGATTATTATAGAGTGCAGCTCCATCTCCTTTTGATAGGACAGGTAGTAAGCCTTAGGCTACAGGGAAACCATTTAAAGCTTAGTTGAGGGAAGGAAATGCCTTCACTTACCTCTTTCTTTCTCTTCTGCTCCCTCCAAAAACCCTTGTGAAGTGTTTTGTTGCATAACTGTGGGCTACAGCCAAGCAACTCATCACTTTTCTTTTACAGGACAGTTGAAACAACAAGTTTTGATTTGTTGCTGAAGACGGATGATGACTGTTACATTGATTTGGAGGCTGTTTTTAACAGGATAGCGCAGAAAAAATTGGACAGACCAAACATTTGGTGGGGCAAGTGAGTTGTTGATTTTGCTTTTTTTTTTTAATTTTCAATCAGTCCTTAAAAGGAAAAGTCGTGTACTGGGAGGGAAGATTTGGACAAAATCTTTTCTATGTGGGTAACGTCTTCATGTGTAAATTCTCTAATAGTCACAGTCTCCTGGTAAGACAAGTATGAGATGATGAAAGCTGAAATCAGTATAGGAAGTACCAAATGAGCAGCAAGGCCTTTACCCCTCAGTTTGAAGGGGGTATAGGAGGGCTGTACCTCTCCTGCCCTGTCTCAGTGGAAGATGAGAGGTGATGGCCTCAAGTTGCACCAGAGAAGATTGAGGTTGGACGTGAGGAAAAACTTCTTCTCTGAAAGAGTGGTCTGGTACTGGAATGGGCTGCTCAGGGAGGTGGTGGAGTCACTGTCCCTGGAGGTGTTCAAGGAACGTTTACATAATGATACTTAGGGACATGGTTTAATGGGAAATACTGGTGGTAGGTGGACGGTTGGACTGGATGATCTTGGAGGCCTTTTCCAACACTGGTGATTCTGTGATTTTGTGTGATCTGAAGTGGATTGTGGTGTCAGCTGTCTTTTGTCTGCTGGGTGCTTTACATATCAACTTCAGCTGTGAATGTGGACTCTGATTACAAATCTGCCACGCAACTGTAATTCCTCACTGTTACAGAGCTGGTGTCTGAGGTGACAGTTCTTAGAAGCTCACACAAGGTGTTAGCTTATACTTATGACTAAATTCAACAATTCTTGAAGCTGCTTGCAAAAAGCAGAGAGAACCTGCTCATTGACACAGTTATGCCAGTTAGCTGAGAGTGCAGGAGAGACTTGCAAGGCAAGTGTTCTACCAGTCTTTTCCTGAAATGAGGGCATTCCTCACTGCCTGACACAGCAGCCAGATGGGGTCAGTACTACGGTGTGGTGCAACAGCATCTTGAAACTGTGCTGCACTGCCTGGGTACGGGAGCCAGTGCAGTGAGAGTGGGCAGGCAGTTCTTCTAGCTTCCTGCAGGTGTCTAGTAGTAAATAAAATGTCCCCTAGAGGAGGCGACTGCCAAAATGTGTTTGTGGTAGAGTGATGGCAGCCTTTGTTGAACAGCCGCTTTGTTAAGCTTCGTTTAGAAAAGAGCACAGAGGAGGGGGTGACTCCCAGAAAGCTTCAACAGTAAATCAGTGTTGAGAAAATAAACCCCTGTCCAGTGTTCCTTTCCAAGAGATGTTTTTTACTGTAACTGTGACTAAGTTACCTTGGTCTAGCAGGGCTGTTTTTGGTAGACAGCATATAAAATCCAGTACTATATCTTGTTTTTTTTTTTTAGTTTTTTTTTTAAGCAGCCATTAGTTTGATCAGGAAGATAGGATGTGTAATGGTGCTGTAACTGCATGCCTGCTGGAGGCACTGACTCTGTGGTACTGGTAGCCAGGTGGGGTTGGACACAGATGTGGCTGTTTGTTAGAGAATGCACTTAAGGATGCTGGTATGTTCCTGGATCCAAACACAGCAGTACTGCAGCCATGAGAGAGACCTGACTGTTGGTGCTACATTCCTTTCTGTTCAGAGAACTTCCTGTTACTACCCAAGATGAAAACCAGACAAAAACTTCACTTTCAAGGGTTGTGTTGGATTAGGTATTGTGCTTTAGAGAAATGAGGCTATCTGGACACTATTTTGGGCCACCTTCTACTTCGTCCTCTTAGTATTGCTCTTTTTTTAGTAATAGGTCAGAGGGTAGCTGTGTTCATAGGTTTCACAGAGAGCTTTGTATAAACGCCTCACAGGTCTAATGTGGTTTTCAGTTTCAGACTTAACTGGGCAGTTGATCGAACTGGGAAATGGCAAGAGCTGGAGTACCCGAGTCCTGCCTATCCAGCCTTTGCTTGTGGGTCTGGCTACGTTATCTCCAAAGACATCGTTCAGTGGCTGGCAAGCAACTCTGAAAGATTAAAGACTTACCAGGTATTAAAATTGTGATTCAGTTCTATCTAAACTGGTTTGAGGAGCAGCATGTAGTGTTGCTGACTTGGAAAGAACGCTGCTCAAGTATGTGCTGGGTTTTCCTGATTAATGCTTTGGCTTTTTGTAGTGCTTTGGCTTACTATACTTAGTGATGTTTTAGCTCCCATCACAGCTGTTTTGGACTGAGAAGCTCTGGTATGGTAATCTTAGTGGGTTTTTTTTTTTTTTTGTACTTTTTTCCTCGTGGAAACAGTTTACTGCTTTTTCACAGAAAAGTGGGAGGACTATTGGAATGCTTGTAAACTACTCAGACACAACTTTTGTAGTTAGTCTTTTTTATGTAGGTATGGGCTTTAGGCCTTCCTGGTGCAAATGCTTTTATCATGTTTTGTCTCAGGGTGAAGATGTGAGTATGGGCATCTGGATGGCAGCTATAGGACCCAAGCGATACCAAGTAAGTCTACAGAAACTCTCTGATCTTATAGAGGACGACTGTTGTTAGAATAAATAAAACAGGAGAGACATTCTCTTTTACCTTTACAAAACTTGAACCTGCTACTGGAGCAAAATCCAGAAAGCACATGTTAAAATCAATTTAAAGAACAAAAACACACCCCAACAACCACCAGCACCCCCCGTTCAAGTACTCCAAACAGCTCTAGCAGTTCAAGAAGGGATATACAACTCCAACTGGTGAAACTTGTTAGCAATACATTTGGCACACAAAGAAAACCTGATTCTTGGAAATACATTCTAAGAAAAACCACTGAAATCACTGTCTCTCTAACAGGATAGTCTCTGGCTGTGTGAGAAGACGTGTGAGAGTGGCATGCTGTCTTCCCCTCAGTACTCCCCACAGGAACTGAGAGAACTCTGGAGAGTAAAGGAACTGTGTGGAGATCCTTGCAGATGCGAGGAAAGATAATGGGCTTATATCAGCCAACATCATAGCGTATACCGATGATGGAAAACTGTACACTGGGGTTCGTTCCTTCAACAATATGGAATATTGAGGTATCTTTTATTGTTGGGTTTCATCTGAAGTGTAACGATATTTGCACATCCCTTTTGATAATTACAAGTGGACTGATACTATTCAATTTCTATAGTATAGATGTTGATCTGACAAAAACCAAAATGTTTAAGATAAAAATTTCCTTTTTATATAAGAAGTCAAAGACCTACTTGTAATTAATAAATGCACATAAGAATGCCAACTAGCCTGTCTTTTGTAAATTTAAGTACTACTGATTTAACTCTGTATAGAGCTGTACCAGGATCCCAGTAGGAGCTGTGCTTAGTACCAGGGTAGCTGGTCAGTTGTGCTGCAGCAGGTTTCATGCTGTTGGAGGGGCTGAGACAGCGAGCGTTTGGGATTTATCTGACCTTGTTCAGTTTGTTTACGCCATTGTCATTTTAGATTAAAAAAATAAAATCAAAGTTTGCTAATACCAAATCTTGAAGTACTACAAACCTAGCCTGATGAGGCGGGATTTCTGACAGCTCAGTGTGCTATTTATAAAGCTGGGGGTACACGACTGGAAGTAAAATACTACTGAGGAATAGCACAGCAGAGAATGTAAAATAAATAGCAATGCCCTGCAGTATGCTGAGAACTTATTTATATACTGTGGTATGTTAATACTGTAGGTAGAATTATGGTTTGTCAGATTTTGACCTTAAATATTCTAAGGCTGTGTAGATATTTCTGCAATTACTGCTGATTTACTTTCATTTGCTTTAAGTTCTTTGGAAGTAAGTGAAAACAGAGTAAGTAGCTTCTTTCAGCACAGCACTAGTTTTATCCTAGAGCTATTATAAGCAAAGATATCACAACTTGATCCTGATGTCACTTCAGTAAAATACAAATTCTCACTGCTGCAGGGGGAAAGTAATATAAAATAATGGCAAAAGGGTTACCCAGAGATTTATTTAATTGAAGAATTGAAGCGCTATTTATTTGGTATCTCTTACATAAGACACTGCAATCAAAAGGAAAGGCTTTCATGGAGACCACTACTAAGCTTAGGAGCTGGCAGCATTACCACTGAGCCCTCTGGTACCACGTTTTCCCAGCCATGTTCAGGCACAGGTTGTACACGGTGTCTGCAGACAGTCCATGATGCTTCTGCAGTTCCAGTGTTGGCTCTTCCTTCAGTCTGCCAAGGGTGTCTCTTCTTACCACCGTACTAACACAGAGTCTCCATTTTCTATTGAGTAAAACTGCAAAGGCTTTAAGTCGTTGTCAAGTTCAACTTCTTTTCCTTTCAGCTAGAATAAGAAAGGAAGAAAGTAGTCTGATCAGACTTCAATAAATTCTAGTATATTCTAACCAAACTTAGATTAGGCAGCCAAGGACCATATTACAGGGTTCTAAATTACAGCAGGAAGAGCACACTCCATGTGTGAAATCAGCGTCATTAGGCAGTACTTCAGAACATGCTATTGAACTTTATCAGCATGAAGTATTTTACTGCTAAATTACCTAATTTTAACTCACTTTAGAACTTTCGTAGGACAGTTTCAGTTCCGAACCAGGAATTCTAAGTAGGCGATAGAGCAATCCTTTGACCCTTTGAATAGTCATGGACTCTGAAAAAGGGAGGTGGGGGGGATAAAGTTATTAGAAAAATGCTGCTACCACAGAGCTGTACTGTTTTTTCAGCTATACTTGCTCATAGCAACAGAGAAAGGCTGTACTGCTGCTTCAGTTCTAACACTGCAATAACATATTTTGTACCTGAAATGATAACTGCTAACATCAAGTTGAAAATGGTTTAATCTCTGGCGGATCAGACAAAATACACTACCATGTTTTAAGTGTTTGGATCCCATATACCAAACAGAAGTGTTACGGCTTCATAATTCACCTTTGAGTTTGAATTTACTCCATGCTAAAACCAAGTGACCTTTGGGACATGTACCAGTCAGGTTCTGACTGCTGGCAGCTGGCGCCCATTCCTTCAAGTTTTTGTACCTTGAATCGGCTTTCCCGACACAAATAGCACTGTGGACCTCATGCCATTCCTACCAGTAAGTGCTGCTACATTAGCCAGGCCCCAGCAGACTGCCAGCAGAGCTGTACAGCAGTTTCTATTATGAAGTCAGTTACACTGAGGCGTATTTTTTTGTAATGAATCTTGAGTAAGTGTAGTTTGCTCCAGAGGTGAGAGCTGTTTGCAATAGATCTACTCGATATAAAAAACAAGTTCAACTTTTAATTCTTTTGAAGCTTTACCTAAAGGCACAGCAATAGTGAGTTACTCCTGTAATCCCACACATTGTACTTAAAACAAATATTTTTCTATCAAACATTTTTGTAAAAGCTGTATCTATCTATCATCTGATTTTATGCAACTTGTGATAATAAATGTGATTTTTATTTTAGAATAAAGCTTGACTAAGTTGTTTTCTTTCAGACTCCATTCTGACACGTCTTTCCAAACCTTCAGTTTGATTTAGAACCAAGTCTGCTCATTTTAGTTGTCACTACAGGTGCTAAAACTTCACTGAAGACAGATTTGATACAGGTCAGCATCAGTCTCCTGATGTCATTTTTAAGACAGACAAGAGACCTTACAGAGCTCTAGAATTGCAGTCTAGATATTTAGCTCTTTCAACTTCGTTCTTATTACTGGTTAGTACATCCATCAGGTTTCAGATGCAGTGGTTGGCCTCTGACCGCCTCATGAAACCAGTGGCAGCCATGGTAATAAGAACAAGCATCAACTTGCAATTTTCAAACTGGACTGAAAGTGAGTGGATGAGGATCAGAAAAATGACTTTTTAAACTGAGTTCTATGTTTGTCATTCCTTTATATGACAGAATCATCAGGGGACAATCTTCAGGAGCTGACAAAGCTAGGGGCAGCTGACATCCTTTATTACAGTCATTTGCAAAGGAGCTACAAATCAATTGCTAAAACAACAAGACAAGACTTACCTGGTAGCTTTTTCTCTACAGGCTTCTGCTCAGGGTTGTCAGGACATTTAATTGTCAAAGCTTAAGGAAGAACAGCAAGGCATTAGTGAGTTAGGCTGTGTTCTAATAGGACACAAAAGCTTTCTAAGTCTGCTTTTATACAGGCTGTTTCCTCCCCTCAGCCTCATATTCCTTGTTCTACTTTGCTTCTACCTAAACATTAAAATATAATGCTTTACAATACTGTTTAAAATTTATTTTTTTTAAAAAAAAAGATAAATTCTATCAAATAGGAAAGAAAGCTAAGAGAATTTCTACATCTGGGATGTAATCTAGATAATCTAGATAAAGTATGTCAACAGCTCCACACACCAAACTTAGCGATATTTTTCCTTGACCGTCCTAAAGTAGTTACATACATTAAAAAACATAATCAGGGAACAGCTAAGAAAGTAAGGTTAAAATCTCAAATCTCCTCCATGGAAAAATCGTTCACGCTGGCAGAAGAGAATATCAGTACTTCTCTTCCTCACTAACTCTTAATTAAGAAAATCATTCAGGTTGGATTGCAGGGGAAAAGGAGGTGGAATACAGATGATAAGCAGGTATCCAGTTAAAAGCATTGACAAGTCTAATTCTGAGGAGCAGAATTACAAGTTGCAACCCCAGGACCTCTCAAAGGCTTTGGAGCCCTGTGTCCTCCTTATACACCCAGGAAACACCAAACTCATAAAAACATTTTTTTTAGGAAGGAAAGGCTTTGACCATTTCTGGCCTCTTACTCAAAAGTTGATTTTTCAGAGTCAAAGGCTGTTGTCCCTTCAGTTCTCCTTCTTCAGGTGCACCATATTCTACATAAAGGAAAGCACACATAGACATGAGCACTTTCGAGACTAAAATTCAACAGCAGCCCAAAGAAGAGCAACCACGGAATCGGACTTGTACTTACTAAGGCAAAGAGACAGGTATCTGGGATGGGCAGCAAGAAATTCTTTACTGGGTTTGTTTCTCGCTGGATCCCAATGCCCTCCAGCTGCTAGCCAGTCTTTCCCAAATATTTTGCGGTAATCAAGCTCTGCTCCTCTTCTCTCATCAGGAAAAATCTGTACTGACACAAGAATGGAGCACAATAAAATGATATGGCTTTCCAGAAAAGAAAATCTAATTCACGACGCTGACTCACGCTGCTACTTCCCTGTTCAGTACATTTTAACTCTACCAATAATCTTACAAACCAGTCTCTAAACACTAACTGATCCATACATTTATGGTACCTTAAACTATTGGGTATCTTAGGAGCTCTACCTCCTGTACTGACTGATCCATACATGAATATTGAAGTATTGTTTGTAGCTGCAGAACACATGCTGTTTCTGTCCTCCTTTATGTAAAAGTTTTGCTGCAAGTTCGATTTGGTTCAGATAGTCCTAGCCTTCTATTAGAGAGGATAACTGAAATGGGTTAACTATGCTGCTTTTCCTTTTCTTTTTGGGCAAGTGTATGCTTTTTATTAATGGTCCTGCAATTTCAGTAGGAACTGATGGAGAAATGCTGGTGCTATTTTATATTTTCCCACATCCTAATGTCTGTTGAACTAGCAATGTTCACAAATGGGGCTGTACTTCATGTTCCCAGTAAGTGCCCCATTTCCAAAGTGATGGAATAGTTGGTACTTTACTTTTCCTACCTCCAAACAAACAATCTTAAAAGAAGCTGAACAAGAATTAATCAAGCAATGATTTGAAATGTTTTTCTGCAGACGTGCAATTTCTTGATGCACCACATACCTCAGACTTGTTCAAAAACTCCAATTGACTTATCTTGGCAATAATTAGCTGTCTCAGGGTCTCTGGATTCTTCTCTGTGTCCATTAGAGGGTTATTGCGACACTCCAGTACCTGCAAACTTGGCAGTTTATCAAGCTCATTGATCGACGACCACTGAAATGGAGGGAAAGAGTCTGTTGAGGAAACATAAAGTGCACTGCATTGCAGAACAATAAGCAGTGACACTGGCCTTTCCTGTGCAGTAACTGTGAATGAAACAATTCTTCTGGGCAGTAGAACCAACTACTTCCATGCTCTTCATTTGATGAAGACAATAATTGCAGAACATTTAATTTAAAAAAAAAACCTAGACAAACTGGGAGCTACTCAGCATTTTAGATTGATAGAATTCCACATGAGGAATTATGAGGTAGCAGAGGGATAGGACTCACCACCATAAATCTCTTCAATTGAGATGCTAGGGATCTTTTAAAACTCTGAAATTCCCACCTGTGAGTTGACCAAAGAGCTCAGTATTTGCCTCAAGTTCTCACACAAGCAATCAAACTAATCTCAAGCAAATTGCGAGTTACCCTTAAACAAAGATGCACACGTTTACAAAATGTGAAGCTCTCACAAGCAAACCTACCTGTGAGATTTTATTGTCATTTATTGCAAGGCGTTTTAAGGAAGGAAACATTTTAGTCTTGCATCCTAGGAAAAAGAATAAGTCCAAACAATAATGAAAACTTTAAGTGAACAGAATTGTAAGGCCAAAACAAAATGCTTCTTTTACATACCAAACTCAGTATCAGGAAAGTGTACAGAAGATATTCCATTGTTGGTAAGTATTAACTGTTCTAATCTGAAATGTAAAAGACATAATAATTAGTAGAGCACATTTTTTCGTTAAAAATAAACCTCCCAAAAAAACCCACCTCAAGTTTTGCTTTGTTTTTTAAAAACAAAGGTGCAATAGACTTTTGACATCAGTGACAAGTACACAGCAGTAGACAGCACCCAGACTTTAGCAGAGCATTTAGAGAATAAGTGCAATAATTTCAAGCTTTGCCTCCCTCCAATCTCACTGTTTTGTTTTCTTTTTAATTTAAAAAAAAAAAAAAAAGGACAAAGAAATGGACAGTATAGGATGGCCTGCTTGTGGAAACTGCCCATCACCAATGGTCTTTAATGTCACACCTTCACCAAAGAGCCCTAACAGCATTCTGCACACTCAAACAACTGTGATGGCTGTGCAGCTACTGATGAACCTCTATGACACTGTCATGGACATAAAACCATTCCTAAGAAGCCACATCCAAATCTCTTCTGCTTTTCTACAACAACTCTCTACTGTCCTGTTGTCACAGATAAAATGCTGTAGATGTTAACAGTTAAAGAACTTAGTAAAGTGATAAATAATTTCAGTTTTGTAAGTGTATAATAAAAACTTATTGACACACGAGTTAAGAATGTCTTGCTTACAAACTAAGATTGTATTAAGATAGCTCAAGTAATTCAGATACTCTCCTCAAGAGGGAAAAGTGCTTCTGCTTTAAGATTCCATTCATCTTCCAAGAAGCATTAAAAAACAAACATATTTCAGTTCACAGAGAAGAATGAATATACAGGATAAGACAAAGAACTTCCAGCAAATTTGTTTAACAGCTACCTGGGGAGATGTCCTATCAGGTGCAGCTGACTTCCATCCAGTAGCTGGTTGTTTGAAAGGTCTAGCAGTTTCAAGGTCTGCAGGACATTATCAGGCCTGCCATATTGAAAAACAATAACAAAACAAAACACCACACAAAAGCAGAATATTTCAGGTTATTTTTCATTACAATACTAGTTTTCTATGTGTATAACTGCACACAGATAATTGTACTTATATAATGTATTTGGAAGTACATCATGTGAAGCTTGCACTGTGTATTTCACAATTATGTCATGGTGACATAAACACTGCAGTAATGTACCTTTATGCGATATATAACTTGGCAGCACATCAGTCACAAAAGATTGATGTATGTTACTCATCTTACCTTTCCAAAACTGAAATATTATTTGAAGTAAGGTATAATTCTTCAAGTACTGGCCATCCTGGAGCACAAAGAAGAACCTACGAGCAAAACATCATTTAATGCAACAGAAGTTGGGAAAAAAATATTCCAGAAATTATACTTTGTGCAGATTCCCTCAGAACATATTCAGAACTAATCATATGTCTCAAAACCAGAAATAAGTACTACACTCTTTTTCTTCTAAGCAGCACTTTCTTGTATCCAGAACTAGTGTAGGAAGTAAATAGTGTAAATGGGAAAGATGGAAAGAAACTTAACAAGAGTCATCAAAGTAATGCAACAGAGCTGTTCTCAGCTACTTGCATATAAAAAGTTGGGAATTATTAAATGAAATTATCAGGCAGCAAGATCAAAAGCCAAAAGGGATATTTTCTCATACAGCACATAATTAAACTGATTTTACAAGATGTAGATATAAAAAATTTTGAATAGATCCTCAATGCTGCTAAATAAATCATGAAAGAAAACCCACAAAGATTATTTAAATACAGATTATTTAAATATACGGCCGCCAGCTCAGGAAGCCTTGGAATTCCAGATGACTTGATAAGAAGCTCTTGCTGTATACCTGTCTATTGCCTCTAATTTTTCCCAACTACCTGCCACTTGCTAGTGCCAGCAATATGATGCTGCACTTCTGCTCTAACCCTGTGTTGTTTTTTTTTTCCCCTATATATAAAATATTAGTTTGAGAACAGAACGAAAACAGATTGCTATGATTTAAATATTGAATGAGAAAAAAAAATGTAGTTTTGGAGTCCAAACTATGAATTACTCTCAAATGGATTAACTCAGTTTTCACTTCAATGGTTTCTAAAATACTTTACAGGACATCTTGTCCCCCTGAAGATTATATGGTACGTGTTGAACAACCAAAAGGAATAATACAGTAAAATGCTCTCTTAGTGATACACTAACAGAAATCTCAGATGTATTTTGATGTGCACATACAATACACAAATAACTTTTTGGAAAAACCAATGCTCAAGACAGGTAAATATGGGAGTCGTGCAAAACTGCATGACAGTCTCTATTCTTAGAACATTTCAAAAGAGAAGAACAAATGAAAACAAAAATACAGGTCTTCTTTTTAAGACCTATCCCCATGCCATACATTCTTACATATGGCAATACATTACTTTGAAATGCTCTAGATGGCTCTAATTTTGATGAAAACATTTCCAGGATTTTCAGACTTCTTTTACATTCTCATTGCCAGTCTCTGCATTTCTCTGTGGCTTGGATCACATTCATTATTATTTTCTATTAAAAAGCTGACTTCTCAATGTAACTTCCCATGCAGCTTTAGCAATAACATTTTAAGTGGTTTCTTCACAGAGTATTAATAACATGGAGTGCCTTCAATTTTTCCCCCCTGTGTGCCCTGGAACACCACCTCTTTTAAGCACAGGCTTATGTCTTATGAGGGAATTAATCAAACAAATGTTAATTTTAGAAAAAAGACTTCTGCATCAAAAGCCTCTTTAGCAGCTACGCTAAACTGTCAGCTAGACTGGAGTTTCAAAAACAAATGCAAAATATTATCTAATTTTAAACTGCTCTGACTAACCAGAGGCTTAGCTTTGAACCTTTGTTACCCATATTGAACTGTAACCTGCATGAAGTAGTGGTCAGGTGCTGGAATGGGCTGCCCAGGGAGGTGGTGGAGTCACCAACCCTGGAGGTGTTCAAGGAACATTTAGTTGTTCTGTTGACAGACATGGTTTAGTGAGAACTATTGGTGGATGGTTGGACTGAACAATCCGGTAGGTCTCTTTCAACCTTGGTATTCTATAATTCTAAGCCAAAGCTACACAACTCTTTTAGCCAAACTGGTTGGGATGCAAGCCACCAGCAGCACCAACCTCTTCTCAATGCACAAATTTACTCTGATGTGCATTAGACAGCATTTAGAGTGTAATAATTAAATTCTTCCATTCAATTCAACATTCATATTGCTGCCATTATGGAAAGATTATCAACTAGCACCAATGGTTTAAAAGGACAGTAGATAGATACCAAAAAAACCCTCATAGTAATGATCCTCCTCTAGCCTCAAAAGAAGAAACTGAAAACACTTAACTTCCACTTCAATCAGAACACCAGTTTTGGTAAGTACTCTATTATTGGGTAGCAGTTGACAGCAGAAATTTGAAAATTCAGCTGATTTCTCAACACAGAACTTGTAAGATCTGATGCAGAGAAATCCAAATAAGGGACTACTACTTACAAGTCCCTATAAGTAACATAGCACTACTGAAAAGGGATTCATAAGGCCTTCTCCTCCCCCTGCTCCAGATAAAATGTCACTGCTAGCACATTTGACAACAGGACTTTGCCTTTAATGAGGTGAGATATTAGGGCAGAATCAATGAAATATTTGCAAGTTTCAGTTCCTGAAACAACTCAGAGCTTAGTTTATTCTGTGCTAAATCTGTGTTGCATGATGTATTTCAAGTATTTCCATTAGCCAATCTCATGCTCATGCAAAGTGATGCCAAAGCAACTATTTCATGTCATACTGACCCATGTTCTCTTTGCATTTGTTCTATTAACTACATCAAAGTATAAACAAACTCTCACAAACCTCAAGGAAACAAAATTTTCAAATCTTTGGAACATGAAGCTAAACTGCTTTATGTTGACTTGGTAATTTACAGATGTAAATGAAGTCAAACATTTTCTTATTAAACTCCTGTGCCAATATAATCTACTTTTCCAACTAATACAATTACGTTACAGCACCTTTCCTAAGGATGATCACATTTCAGAAGAATAATAAAATGTATAAATATTTACTGTGCTTTATTTGTCTAAAAATCTAGCAGTATAAAAAAAAAAAAAAAAAAAGATTTAAAGTTATTACCTCTGTCCATGTTATCTCAGTCTGATTAAGTGCCAGTGTTGTCAACTTTGAAAATGTATTAGATACAGAAATTGATGTAGATGGAAATTTCATTCTGTTTCCACTGTGTAAAGAGAGTAATTATTAGCACAAACTTAATTAAATCTAATTGTTTATGAAGTCATTCATTTGGAATTACAGAGTAAGGACAAAAATAATAAGCATAATTAAAAAGTCACTGATAGCATTTCACACACCTAAAAACACTACAAGACAGAATTCTACTTACATTCAAACTCATTCTTTCCTAATTTACCTTCCTACTTCATGGATGCATATTTACTCACCTGTGGCTTCCCCCACACCTTCCTTCCTTACATTTTAAATTTGAAAATAATGGCTTTCTTTAATAAGAAATGAAACCAAGCCTGATTTGGGGCTTAAACTCCTTAGTGCTGATTGAAACTGGTGAGAATGAAACAGAAAGTACGTAGAAAATGTCGACAGCAAAAATCTCACTATCAAACAGTTAAAAGATTCAAAACTGAAGACTTCAAGTTAGTTTTCATTATCTGCNNNCCCCCCAAAGTTTTTCTTTCTTTCTTAAAGTCTGATGTACTTGCATATTAGTACAAGAAATTGCTCAATGTAGTCACACTTACAATAATTTTTTCCCATTTAAACAAGCTCTGAGAGAGTTGGTGGAATTTATTGGTGGATTGGATACTTCCTCCAACACTACTTGTGCACACACAAAAATTCATTAACAGACATACCTGGTAACTTCTTTTTTAGAATAAACTCTTGACAGAAGATCAAAACAATTAAAAAAATCAAAAAACAATCAAAAAAATTAAAAAAATATATTTTTAAATAGTTGTAGGTATTATATTTTTCTCAGGTTAGCTATAAAACCAAATACAAACACTGGGCACACCTTCTCATTATAGTAACTCAGTGTTTATTTCAATTTAGCTTACACTGCTTTCAAATTATTTTAGCTAAACTGTGTGTATCATACAGTGAAGGTTTTGGAAGTTGTTAATAGGACAACAGAGATCACATATGCAAGCATGTATATATACTCTTTAACAGATTTTAAAAAATAATAGTAATTAAAATTTAGCTGCCATTAAAACCCATACTGAAGCACTCATTTATCTTTTGAAAGTCGACTTCATATCTAAAATAGTCTCTTCTTTTTTGTCCTTACCTCCAAAGGAACAGAAATCCAAACATGAATATTTATACCTGATATCAAGTGTTTCCAGATTTGGAACTTGAGAAGCAATATCTATTACTGTATCCCAGTGTGACACCAGATTTTTTGATAGATCTATATGTCTGATATCTGAAATTTCATATTAAGAAAACAAATATCTCAAGCCTGAACTTCCTTTTTCAGGAACTAAAATTAGGTTTTGGTTTTGAATCAAATAAGGGAAAATGGAATATATTTTTGTTAGCCCTAAGAGATACTACCATTCAGCTACAGCAAATTTTACATTCATTTGTACAGAAAGCACAGCACAGAAATGGCTTCGAATTGTTATAAAAAAGCTTAACTTTACAAATCTTAAAATGGATAAATTTCTGCATTGATAGCAATTTTTACCAGTCCCCATAAATGAAATAACTCGCTTTGATTTTCTGTAACACTGCCATAATGTGTAGTCCACTGAATACATTATTTGTTACATATTTGAAACCTGTGGTACCTACAGAACAAATCAACTGTATTTTTTATATGGTTACCTATTCTAGAGTTATATTTAAAAAAAAAAATTTCCAATTGCTGAAATTGCAGCCACAGTAATAACCTCCGATAACATGGCTATTTTCAGTCACTATCTGCATTCCTCCTCAAAAACTGTGGGCTCCTACATTTTAACTCTGTAAACACTGAACTGAGCTTACAAATACAAATTTCAATTTTAAATATTTTTTGTAACAAAAGGATAAAGATACTCTTCCTCATTTCTTGAAATGAATGCTCAGAGTGCTAAAATACAAACTTTATTTGTGGTATTACATTATGCAGCAAATATTCCAAAAGGATACTAGCACACGTTCCACTGATTTCCTCTTTCTGACCAGCATGGCTCACCATGCATTCATGCACTGAGATATGTACAAGTCGATGCAGCTGGCTAAATGAAGAAGAACATTCTGTTAAGCAATCTTCAAACACAAACATGCACAATATAAGCACCTGGTTGTTACAAAAAAATAATATTCTTTTCATAAATATCTCCTTGAGAATGAGTGTCATACATTGTATCTCTCTTGTATACCTCTTGTACTACAAAACAGGTCTGGTTTAATCACACTTTTTTCTTCTCTCCCACTTTCCTCTTCCCCTTCATGCACCTCTCCTCTGCCTCCCACACATCACAACTGACACACATCAGAAAAAGTCATAAAACAGACAAAATGTATGCAAACTGGAATTTAGTTGGCATTTCCAAGTAATTTTTTTGTAATAGTTTTTGCAAGCAGTTCTAAGTTATTTTATATTCTTTATATCACTTATGAAAAAAGGGGGGGAAAAAGGCCTTTTTGATTACTAAATATGTTCTGGGAGACAAAAGGAATACAGTTATGGAACACCAGCTCAGAGAGGAGACTGCCACCTACTGAACTGATACCTTGCTGGTGCTGGAGGCCATTCAAACTGCAGTCTATTGCACATCATTAAATCAGTTCCTTTTTTCTTACCCTCATAAATAAATGGAAATTGACACGGACTGACTGAAAGACATCAGTAGCTGTACAGTGACTTTCTGACTTCTTTCTCTTTGTTACATAGTCGTTGCTGATACCACTAAACTAAGATGAAACAAGAAGGACTACACTTAGAAAACCCACTTATTTGAAGAGGACCAGGAATGTGTATATACAAAGTTATAAAACACATTCATGATGATACAAAAAATATCTTAACTGTGTTGGCAACTGTGTAGCTGCTACACAAGTTGAGTCAATACACTGATCCAACAGAAAACTAGCCTACACAACAGTGAATGGTTTCATACTGGCTCAACAAGCCAAACCAGCTCACCTTTTGGTGAGCAGAAACAGAGAAAGGGAACAAGCAAGGTCAATCCTTTTGTCAGCAGCAAATAATCACATCAGATAAAAAATACTATGTGAAATTATAGACTCAATATCTTAAATTTCAAGCGATCTTTAATTTATCAACAAGTTTCTTGAACTTAGGGGAAACAATATTCCAGTAGCAATGGAATAATTACCTTAGGAACTGAGGACCATATGATTTTGCTTTCCTTATAATCAAACTAGTATTTGACACGAGTGTATCTTAGATTTCACATTACACTTGCCTTTGTTTTTTTTCAATAGAATCTCTGCCAACAAATTCCACGGTCTTCTTTCCAAATACACACGTACTCTCTATTCCATTTTGAGCATCTTGTTTTTCATTCAATCCATACCGGCCCTTTACTGCAGTAAGAAAATCTACTCCAAAATTTGCTTTGTTTGGGCGGATAAACGACCCTCCTCTGGGATGCCTGGAAAAGAGCAAGGAAACAGTGAAAGATGAAAAGTTACCATTAGAATGATTAAAAAAGAGAAAGTTTAAAAATTGAGTATTAGTTTTTAAAAAATACCACAAACCAAAGCAGGCAGAGAGCAACTGTACAGACTAATATCAGACATCTCTACTCCTGCTCAGCAAATTAGGCAATATTTGCAAAGTATCGCTGCTAGTATTCGACGTAAGTAAGATACTGTAAGAACTGAAAATCATCAACACCAAATGTACTCAAACATGAACATTGCCATGTCAGTACCAATAGCAGAAATAACTGTCTGGTTCTTTCCAAACTCATTATGAACTCATTCTTACCCAGCAAATCAAGTTTCTTCCAATTGACAGATATAAACTTATCTCAAATCATGTGACAAATACGTCTGGAGTCTTAGCTCTACCTAAGACCCATAGGAACACTCAGAATAGTAGCCATTTCACCTGAATAATTCATTTGAAATGTTGAGATTGAGAATGTAGCTTTGTCCTTTCATCCAAAAAAAAACCAACCAAAAAACAAAAAACCATAAGAAGTGGTACAATTTGTATCTTACCTCACACTAACTCAAATAAATAAAAAAAACTAATAGTAACTTGGTAAAATTTTGAAACTGAATATTCAACAATTTTAGCAAGATAATCCACGTTCTACACAGTCCTATGAAATGTCTTAGTTTTTCTTGTGCTGAAAAAAACCACATAACAATTTCTTGCCATGCAATTGCTTTGACAATTTCTATCAAATTAGAAAGGAAATAGTAGGGTGAACTGGCAAAGACAAGTTGTGGAAATGGTATCACAGAACAGATGGAGAATATAATAGGAGGATCAGCCAGAAAACAGCAGGAATAAAATTGGTAGTTATGATTACCTGTCTGCCTTCCAGCTGAGAAGAGCACTAACTTTGATTGGAAAGAACCCAGGAGGAAGAAACTACTTACATAAATAAAATTCTTTTCAAAACATCACGTAAGCATTGAGTGGCTCATTAACAAACCATAATATACATCATCAACTCTACTGAATCCAAAATTCTCTCAGAAAAACAGTAACTAGAGACCATGAATCCTATGGATCCATCGCAAGGAGATGGCACCATATATTCAAATTGTAATAAAAAAAAACAGTACTGGAAAGTGCCTGTGCTGGTTTTATTCATTAAATTTTGCAGTATTTACATAAGTGCTCTCATATCCTAATAATAATCTGGATAGAAACAAGATATTATTTACTCTAAATACTTTACTTTTCATACTCAACACAAATTTTCAATTATGTACATTTTTGCTCCAGCAACACCTTTTTGAGCCCTTCTTCCCATTTCTTTCAAGTTATTCTTCATAATTTGCAAACATTTGATTAGTTCAGACGTTCAATTTTCTCTAACATAAATTTGTGACACTTCCTTAATACAACTTCTTTTAACAATAAATCACATTTTCACTACCTTATTAACTACATCTCTTACACGTGAAGTACACCATTCCTACTTTTGTGTTTACTCAAGTCAAACAGCTCTGTAGACAGCAGATGCTTCAAGATCCGACCAGCTCTAGCAATTCTTCTTGCTTATCTGTAACTTACCTTACCTCCTGCTGTATGTTTAGTCTGAAATCTTCCGTTCTTCTTCCCATCACCTTGTCTCTCCCCATTTTGTCATCTCTATTCCTTTGCACTCAAAAATTCTGTTTCTTCTCTCCTCTCTCCAGCTCACTCATCAGAGTTAATCTTAAACCCTCCATACCAGCATCCTTCTCATCATGCTGTTTATCCCTGGCACAGACAAAGCCTTTGGACCTCCCCATTACCATACTGCTTCCTAAACCCATTTCTTACCTCTCGGGTCACTGTTTCCATTGACACCCCTTTTCTCTCACTATCTTTCCAGAAGCCAGTTCTACCCTCGAGGAAAAAAAAGAAAAAAAGTAAAGGAAACTAGCTTGCCCTGTTTTCTCAAGCACTAGGGTGATCTGAAGCTACAGTTAAATATGGTACATTTCTTCTCTCAAGCCTCTCCTATTTTTTTTGTTGTTGTTGTCTTGTTTTGATTAGAGAAAGATCATGGGGTTTCTCTCTCCTGTTTGTGCCACTCCTGAGTATTCTCCCTTTCAGCACAAACTTACGTAATGTATAATCAAATCCATTCCACAGTCTCTTTTTCGGTTCAATTTTATTAATCTTACCTGCCTTTGCAAGAACTGTCCAAGAGAAGGACAGAAGAGGAGATTTTGCAATAAGACCTTATTTTCAGGCATAATGATTACATGTTCAAGGAGAGAGGTAACCTGTAACTTGTTTTCCCTAAAATACATTCCCTGTATTAATCTTCACACTAGGGAATAGAAGCTGTACAAGCCACATGCCCATATCACACAACCAATGTACAGCACCTGGACTCATGAAGAAGCATGCCTATAGGCAACCAATATTCATAACTGAAAAATAAAGAGGCCAATAGAATATCCGAAGTGGAAGGGAGCCACAGGGATCATTAAGCCCAAATCCCAGCTTCATGCAGCACCACCCCAAATCCAAACCCTGTGTCTGAGAGCAATGTCCAAACCTCCCTGAACTCCAGCACTCAGGGCCGTGCCCCGTGCAGCCCGTTCCATGCCCACCGCCTCTGGTTCAGCACCTGTCCCCAGCCCCCACTGCCCTCCCTGACGCAGCTCCATGCCGTTCCCTCGGGCCCTGTCGCTGTCACACAGAGCAGAGCTCAGCGCTGCCCTCCGCTCCCTGTGAGGAGCTGCAGCCGCCATCAGGCCTCCCCTCAGCTCCTCTGCTCTGCGCTGGGCACACACAGGGACCTCCAATGCTCCCCATGCATCCTGACCTCTATTCTTTTTCACTGCCTTCATAGCCCTCCTTTGGAAGCTGTCTTATAGTTTTATACCCTTCTTATATTCTGGAATATGTCCAAGCAGGCCTCTGACAATCAGCTAGTGAGAGAGATCCTGGTATTATTGTTCTGGATAGTAAAGGTAGACAGAAAGGTTTCTTTGTCCAGTACTGGCTGTTTTGCAACGAATATATTAAGATAGTTATCATGGGTGGAGGCATACACACTACAGAGATCAGATGGTGTCAGAAATGATAGCCATTTGAACAATGCATCTCATCTAGACGGTCCGTAAACAGATTTTTTCCTTTTAGGGGGAGGTTCTCAATAAATCAGACTTCTTTTAGAAGAAGCTACAGGCTGTATTAAAGAAAATCCTTCAAATTTTATTTTAGAATAGAGGCCGTGATTGCTGTGACATCAAACAAAGCTTGTGAGTGACACCTAGGATTAATCTGCTATGATGTATCAAATTCCTGACTACACAGCAGAAGCTTTGAAGATGTCAGCAACTAACTGAAGTTCTTGCAAGTTAACCTCAGTCAAACAGACATGAAAGCTGACTCTGAATTTTCACAAAACAAGGAAAGAAAAAAATTGGACACCTGCAGTTCCAGATGCTCACTTGAAGGTTCTACATTCAAGCACCGCTTAGAGCGGCTTTATTTCAACACCCTTCTACTGCCAGCAGAGGGCAGAAGTCGCAGATGAGTACAGCAGCACCGCAGCGAAACAACCAAACCTCCCAGCCTGGAAACTCCCGAGGCTAAAAGCAACCTTGAGAATGCGTTCTCCCATTAGCACACAGCAACTGCTTTTTCTTCATAGATACTAAAATGACAGTGACATCTTCCTGTACTTGAAGAACTTTTTTGTGTTCTAAGTAGATATTTTGGGAGGTGAATCTGCCATTCTTGAAGGAGAGAGCTTAATTTAATATGAACAGGTCTTTTTTTTTAGGTAGCAACACAAATGTAATGCCAACAGTAATGCCTGAAGGTCATAATTGCTGTCTGTAAATTTAAAAACGTGTTCCTATACAACTTATAAAAGTCAGCTGAAGAAACTGAAAATATGCAATGCCTTTGGCAAGGATAGTCTGCCATTTCAGGACTAGAAAATACACAAAAATCAAAGTTCCCAGCAGAAGTAAAATTAATAATGCAAGGAGGGTGTGGGATGGGAGAAGAGATCACAAAGAACAACAACAACAACAAAAAGCAAGCAATTGTAATTCAGCAATTTTGAACATAGCACAGAAGCAAGTTTTACAGTTACAGTGCTTCCCTACTTTTCTCTGCCTGGGCAGACCTAGGGAAAGGCCTTAACATTTAATATGGTCCACACTCTTAGTAACAGTACCAGCTGAAAATCAGAAGTGACTGGGGAAGAACAAAGCTATTCTTTGGCAGGAGGTAACAGCTCTTTCAATTATGAATCAAAACACGCCGTGTGTTACAACAGGAAGTCACTCCCAACTTAGGAAGTAAGCTGCTAAAATAGCGATGCATGTGTAAACATTGCTTGTGAAAGGAATACCTGAAACTGTCTGAGAGGATGTCTGTTCAAAAACCCAGTATGGCTAAGGAGGAAGAGCCTTTTGCCACACTAAGCAATAACCGGGGAATTGCTCAGGCTCTTTTTCCAATGGGAGAAGGAAGACCCAGAACGAAAGAAGCACAGGAGAAACCTAAACATTTTTTAACTTGGGGAAAAAGAAGAGAATACCAAAGCAACAGTTGAGACTTGGTTTAACACTGCCAAAAGTCACCCTACTGGCAGCATCACTTCTCCCTTCTCTTCACATGAGAGCTGGAGCACCCACATGTCCCACAGGAGATGTGGGGACACACGTGCCCAGGGTAGGCACATGCACTTGGAGCCCACATCTCCTAGGGAGTAACTTTGTGAATGGGTGCATGGGACAAAAACTTTATTTTGAAAACATACTCGTGTTTCAAAAGCTGTAGATAAATTTTAACACTATTTTAAAGCTTGATTACTCAGCTCTCATTTCACCTGAAATACTGTAGAATACAGATAACTTTGTTGCGTGATGCACTGCTGCAACTGAAGGTCAAAATAATAGCTTCCTCCGCTTCTATGGAACAAGACACGCTCACAATATCAGCGTATTTTGAAGCACTGCTATACTGTCCATTGGTTCTCATACTCTTTAAGAAGTTGAATTAGTACCACATAATGTATGATTCAAACACTGTCACAGAACAAATACATTTAGTCCTAGTTCCGTAGAGCTTACTATAAAGACCACAGACAGTTGTATGCAGTTCTACAGATTTAACCAAATAAGGACTACCAAGAAGATCCCCTGGTAAGGGAAATTGCATATTCAGTTGTACTTTCCTCTTAAAATGCCATTTTGAAACACTTTTTGTGTGTGTGTGTGTGTGTGTGTGTGTGTGTGTGAAGCACTCTTTTCACAGTTACCTTAGAAAGAATTAACAATTTTTAGAAAAAAAAAAAAAAGTCCTTTCATTGCATTTGTTTACAGTATTGTATGGGAACTGCTGAATCACGGCCCAAACCTCTGATTGATCACCTGAGGCAAGCAATGAGTCAGCCACGGGAGCACAGGTGAAGGCAATTCACCTATGCTGCCAGAAGGGCTGGAGCCTGGCTCCACCTCTCCTAGACCCATTTAAGAGCTGACTGCCAGTAGGGAAGGATCTCTTCTGGAGATCCCTTCTCTGGAGTTTTGCAGCAAGCCAGGATGCAGGTAAGCATTCTATCTACTCTCTTTTTGTTATTATAACCTGCTTATATCTCTTGTTTATTTCATAATTATAACATCTTAATATTCACTGACTATATAAGTATGAAGTAGTCTATCAGCTGCTATTGCTCATCAGAATTCAGGGAGTAAGAGAAGTAGTTTTCTAAACTAAGGATATTACTGATAAGGTTTGAGGGAAAAAAACATGTAACCTATAAAAAGTGTATTTTTATAAATGTATATATACATATACTACATAAAGAAACACTGTAAAAATTTACTATCATTTGGGGAAGAAAAATAGAGAGCAAAGACTTGGTGATTTTTGTGCTTTTTTTTTTTTTTTGGGGGGGGGGGGGGGG